ACTTAATTGGATATTTCCTTGTATACTTTTTAGCACGTAGCTATTTATTATTAGCATTATTCTTCCGACGTCTGATTTCTTTTTAATTATAGGAAATGCGTTTTTCTAAGGTACATAAACGTTTGGGATTGACTGCATAGCCAATACATTCTTAAGCGTAGTCATTAAGACCTATGAAATTTGGAAATATTCAAACCACACGGGAAAGACAAAAGACTATCGTACCGCGGAAACGGGCCACACTCACCTATTTAGGCAAAGTGAGCGTGCAATTTTAATCCCGGAGTTACTTCCATTTTATTTCAATTTTCTTACATTTAAACCGTCTAAACGAGTTTACCTTCGCAATATCATTGCTGGCGAGCGTCGTGCAGCATTGAGAAGGATGGAAGAGGGTTGGACGGATGGATAACTGGTCGAGAATGAACAAACTGGAAGGATGAGGAAGAACGTAGAAGGTGGGCGGAGGAAGATGGCTCGGAGAAGGTGGAAGTACCTACTCTAATAAATTTACGACCTAAAACGGTTAAGCCGCGTTAGCCCCGTTCTTTATATTTCCGTGAGAGGAAGAGAGGGAGAGGCGAGGTACTCCGATTGCCAGCGACTGTCCTTCCTTCTGGACCGAAAGAGAGGAGAGAGAGATGGTCTTGTATAGGTCCGCGACAGGCTTCGTACCCTGAGAAGATAAAGCTAGAGAGAGAGAGCAAGAGAGAAAGGTTAAGAAAGAGATGAAAGAAGGTTCGAAAGAGAGAAAAGAAAACGACAGAGCGAAGGATGAAGAACGATGAGAAGATGTGAATATATAAGAGATACGAAGGGAAATTCGCTTATTTTCTCATCATTTCGACGTGGCATCTTGTCTACGGCCTTACCTCATCCACGGAGCCAGGAAAGAAAATTGCTTCTCGTCCTCGAGAACGGAATATCGTCCTGATGAGCCCGGGAATGCCTCGATATCCGTCCCCTACCACCCCCTAACCTAACGTTACAGTCTCAACAGAGTCATCCAGTTAACGGGGCTGCTTTCGTCCCATCCAACGTTTTCGGCCAGGCCGTATCCTCCATCTCCTTCTCCGTCGCTATCGTTGACGGGACATTCAATTTGCTCGCTATTTATTATTCGAACGCGACACTTCCTCGCACCAGCGAGGAGGACTGGAAGCAACGGAAGAAAGAGAAAGAAAATATAAGTAAAAGAACGTCGAGGGAATTCAGGGAGTCAAATGGGAAATTATGAAGTCGATTACATAATGAAACGGAATAGCACTGTAGCTTCGTGATCTAGTGGATTGCGCATGGATTGGTAAGACGAGACAGGAGGCTAGAGTGTTTGCTTGCAGACGCACGCGCGTTTCGTCGTGGACTGCCATGCCGCCGGAGAGAAGCAAGATATTCGCCGCGACGCGACGTCCGGACGTCTTGCTGGGAAATCCGATTTCGAGATCGGTAGATTCCCGTGCGAATTTGATTCGTTTTATTTGTTGTATCCCGATATCGATGGAACCCGGTAGTTGTAGATTTCCCTTGAATCTGAAATCCGATGCCCGAACAGATATACGCCTGCCATTTAACGTGCACTTAAATATGAAGCCAAACAACAAAATTATGAACGATGTAGCACAGATTTCTTTTTTCATATTACGACACTGCAAAGTCAATTATTTTTTTGGCGACGAACCGTAAGTAATTGCGACAGCCCACGTAAACGTGACGACGCGATTTCACGACAGTTCCAAAAAAGGATGCTCGTGGGCTGACCGACCGAAGAGATCTTTCCTCTTCGCCTCCGTCTTGCTCGTTTTCTCCCTCGGTGGCTTCTCTTGCATACTCGTCACGGACCGGCCGGAACCGGGCCTATCGGCGTGTCTCCGCAGCACTGAATAATTCATGAGGCGAAAAGCCAGCAGCCGATACTTATCGCGATAGACTTTAGCGGGCTGCCAACAGCAGCCATGTTACAATAAAGAAATCAACATGGCCGACCGTACTTTTCGTCCCTCCTCGTGTTACGGCCACCGTTACTGCTCTACCCTTCTTCTCGCGTCCACCTTGAGAGCGCCCTCGCGTCGCTCACTTTCGATTTCGTCCCGCAAACTTATCCTTGTTACCCTCTGGATGTCGAAGGGTGGTCCCCGGGCGCGGACACCCCTCGCCTTTGCGGAGCTCTCTTCTTGCCTCCTTTCTTGGCCCGTGCTGCCTTCAGGGGTGGACCGCCCCGCCCAGAAACATTTCTCTCCGCAACCCTCCTTTTTGGTAGCAAAGCTGAGAGAGCGGGACGGCAAAATTGAAGAAACGAACGTGCACGAGAAGGATGAATGATACGAACAGAGGAAACGTGAGAAGATTGGGTGGGAAAAAGCGAGAGAGGGTGAGAGAGAGAGAGGATGTTTGAAGGAAGAGAGATCGGGAATTGGAGAAAGAGAGGGAGAAAAGGGATAGGAGAGGTTTGGCAGCCACTTTTCTCGCCTGCACGGAATCGCGAGACGCCAAAGGAACTCCATTTTCTGGCTACCCTTGTTTAGGGGGCTTGTTCTTACCTCTCCTTTGTAAAAGTTCCACGTTCTCGTGGAAAGAATTTCTCGAATCATTGAATGTGCTGATTTACGTGGCTACTTCTCACTTTGCTGGTAGCAAATTTACGCTATTAGAATGCATGAGCTTCGTTGATATTCATAAAAATAGTTAACGCCTTCTACGCATTTGCATTGCACAGACGTTTTTGATCTCTGCATAGATTACAATACAATTGAATCAAGCCCCTTTTTTGCGTTTGCTGTTTCAGGTATGGTTTCAGAACAGGCGGGCAAAATGGCGTAGGCAGGAAAAGATGGAAGCTGCGAGGCTCGGCCTCAGTGAATATCACCATCCTGCCAATATGAGGTATTGTTTCTAAATAATAGAACTTACTACCTCGTTTTCCATCGAACAAACGTATCAATCAAAGATTGGCCGTTCTGTTGCAGAAGCGTTGCTGGTCCGGCTTTAGGTTTACCAGGAGACCCTTGGCTCACACCGCCAGGCCTATTGAGCGCTCTTCCTGGTTTTCTAGCTGCGCCACACACAGGATATCCTAGTTACCTAACGTCACCAAGACGATTGCCATCGCCGCCGAACGTCGGTGCCGTTGGAAACACAGTGACAGGTGAGACATTTGAACAAATTAAATAGATAATTTATTTATACAATTTTATGGTACTGGGAAATATCTTCAATAATTATTAATGAGCAACTCTTAATTCTTTTATTAGACAACGTTATTATATCCCTGTCGAAAACGAATCCAATAACAAAGAGGAAATTGAATTCCAATGGGAAGTTATTAAATGTTTTGTCGACAGGAGCCCTGGGTGGAGGAATGACGAGCATAGGAAGCGGAGGGCACGTGCCGGCGACGCCGCCGAGTCCACCGGGCCACGATCCGCGCACAACGAGCATCCAAGCGCTGAGAATGCGAGCCAAGGAGCACGTCGAGAGCATCACCAAAGGGTTACAAATGGTCTGAAGTTTAACGTACGACCCTGGAAGTCTGTATCGCCTCGAACCTGCCCCGACCGCGCTCTCAACACCGCGGGCGTGACGAGAAGCGAAACTACATTTATCCTCGCCGTGACCAGACTCTCCTGGAGACCGGAGAAAACGTGTCCGGTAAGCGGGCAGACAGATCGACAAACACGTTCCCTCGTCCCTCTTTCCATGGCCGACGCACGCGACGGTGAACGAGACTCTACGAGCTACGGTCGTTTCTAATTCCGCCGTTTTATCGGTTATCGAATACCGAAGCCGAAGAGTACAAAAGTCCGAGACGAGAGAAAAGGAACGATTAACGCGTTCGAGTACTAATTTACCAGTGGTAATCGAGAAAGAACGAGAGAAGAGAAGGGAAGGACCGATCGGTTATTAATGTAGGTGATTGATAAATCAAATTTGTTAATATCGTTTTTTGATACGATATCAAGCAGCAGGACGTTCTGTGCGAGTGAATACTTTGCTCGGTGATAAAGACGAAATAAAGGAAGAGATTGCTCGATAGGGTAATTGAGTTCCCCTGGTCAGTCGTTTTGGTACCGCGTCGTGAAACTATAGTTCAGGATAATAGTGCAATAAACGAAGAGAAGAGAAAAAATAGTCAAAGAGCTTTCGTACGTGGATGGAGAGTAATTGTAAGATCAAAAGGCAATGGCTTCGTGAAGAATACTCCGTAACTTCCTGAACGAATTCGAGCTCAGTAAGTAATCTGTTACGTATAGCTTTTAAAAACGATCGCGAAATCCTTTCGAACATCGCGTTAGAGCGAGGTTTTATTTTCTGCGAATAGACGAACTGATCTAAGATGGTTTAAACGTGATGTGCACGTTTATTGTAGAACTCGTAAATCGCGTTGAGAGTGCAAACGGTATGAAATCTTCGAACATAAAACGCGATGTTAAAAACATAAACACTCTCCTTTTAAATTCAATTTTTATTTAGTTCTCGAGTTTCTTTAAACCCGAATCGAAAATTAAAGTTCAGTCGACAGTGAAAAAGGTTAGCTAAAATTCCATCAAACCCGTCACACTCTTAACCCGATAAGCAACGCTGTCATCAGCAGATTGTATGCTCAGAGTACATTTACGATACCCTGGAACATAATGGAATGAAACGAATCGCGGGAGTGTTATGACAGTCGATCGAGTCATCAATCTGCGAGTGGGTGTTTAAATATGTAAAGTGGCTGCATCCCAGCGAAACAAATTGGTACAAACCGCGAGGGTCACTGGCCCAGGCCGACCGAAGTGGTGTAAACTGGTCATTTATCCGAAATATGATTAGCATAATTTGTTTGATAATCATATACCGCGAATAGAACACAAGTGTCCGATACTTTATAAACGAAACTATCATTCGCGTCGGACGTCAATAAAAAATGAATGATCAGGTAACTTGTCTGAGCGATCGTTCGATTTAGCCATCGAGCGATCGTTGTAGCGAGTTTTAACAAAACGAAGATTCAGAATTTAGTAGTGATTATCGCCCGATCGAAACTCGATCAAACAGTGCGACGAACCCTGAGGGACTAGATCAATATTTCTTGTAGCATAGAGTTTAACAAAGTATGGTGAGAGGGAGAGAATGTGATGACGCATTTTGGCATAAACAATATTCTGCAGTATTAATAAAGTTAAGGCGACGAATTGTGCATAAAGTTACGTAATAAACGGTTATGAATAGAATCGCTTGGAAGGGGGCTGGCTACGTGGACATTCGAATTAGAGCGTGGATCGAATCCTATCAGTTTTCTAATTTTCTTTTCAATAATTCTGAATTCTGTATCATTAGATTAGTTACAGATTCTGTGCTTCGATTGAATAAACGTGTTTTGCTATGCCCACTACTACGCCAGTCAGTTTCCATGCGACGTCCGAAAACCAAGTAGAGGGTGAAAGAAAGAATGTAGACAGTTACCCACCCCCGAATGTCTATTTGTATATATACCTTCTCGTGATGAAATAAAATTTGATGTACATATTTAATCATACCACACGTTCGTCTCAACAGAGTATTCTTCCGAGTTGTGAGCGAGCGAGAAATCGTGGTAGATCACAGATTCTTGACCACGATAAAATTGCATGCTTTTGCGAGCTCTTTATGAAACGCCCCTTCTCCTTCCACCCTTACAAACTGATCGATCGCTTTATTCCGTTTCTCTTTCGTTTTTTTTTCGTCTAATCGATTTGATCGATCGATAGGCACGCGTTAATAATACAGCCAAAAGAAGGGAGAGGAAAAAGAGAGAGAGGCGGATTCAAGCGATAAAAAGAGGACCGTCCGGTCCCACGGATTTTTAATTGTCCCGCGCGAGGCCGCTCGTATTTGTTAAGGAATTAGCATTTCAAAGAACGATTTCAATTAAAGCTTAATTAATTTCGCGGAGAACGGCGAGTCGAGTTGACGCCGCGCGCCTCATTGTTCACCTTACTTTGGACTTAATTGAAATCGAAGAACCGCCCAGGCGAATTTGAACTGCCGACGGGATCCTGCGAGAGGGAGATAAAAATCGGAAGAATTATTAAAAATTGGCTGACAGTCCATTTAGCTCACGTGATTACTCGTTAATGAAGACTGCGATAATTACAAACTCAGCCAATTCAAATTTCTCTTGTTATTACTTTAAATATTATAATGACTGATTTTGCAAATTGGAGCAACGAATTTTCATTGTGTATTCTGGAATATCCGTAAAATTGTAAATTCCTCTGATTGCGGTGTTAGGTTCGAAATAACATAAAATGTTGACGAACTGATGAAGACCACACTTCCACGCCAAAAAACCAAAAAATTGTCTGACCACCGATTACGCGAAATCATAATTAAAAAAAAAAACGCGTCTACCCCGTACATTTATCGACCGTGCCGCGGAGCAACATCGAGGTACAAAGGGCTCGCCCCGAAAAAAAAATAGAGAGAAAAAGGAAGCGAAAATCTGCAAAACTGCATAAATCAACGAGGGACGGGCGCGACGAGACTCGCGCTCTGGCTGGTTATCTTTTTCGGAGGGTGGTGAAAAAAAAAGAGAGCGGGCGCGGTGACGGGGCGTGAAAGGATTCGACGTTAACAGCACCAACAACGCCGGCTCGCTGGAAGAATGGTGCTGAATGGTCCCTGAACGATTAGGTATTCCAATCGTCGCGCGTTAGGGGTCGCTGTGAAGTGCGGCGGCTAGGGGTTGGGCGCGAAGGGGCCGGCGGTAAGAGGGTGGCAGAACTCGCCCAATAAAATGGTAATTCCTGTTTGCAGAAGTTAACCATGCGAGCGAGCCTGGAGATTCAAGTCCATGCGTACTCCCTAACTCCAAAGACTAATAATACCTCTCGGGGGCCGAGAGCCGAGCCTGCTGACAGCGATATAGTTGTACGGAATAAGAAAGCGGGTATACCTACCTACACATACGCTTGGTCTTGAATACTCTCGGTGAGCCTCCGATCGGGATTTCGATGCGCGTGTGTACGAACGATCATAGGGAATTGGGGAACGCGATACACTGGAAAAATTAAGGGGTGACTGTGAAGTGGATGAGAGAAACTTCAGATTGAAACTGGTACTTCCCTTTCAGGCTAGTGGAAGCGTCAAATAGTAATAAAAGTGAAAGATTTTATTTAAGTTTCATAAAATCCCAATTAGACTAGTAATGTATACATGTGTATAAACAAAATGAAGAGTCATTGAAGTAAGTAAAGAATACAGAGGGTTGATATCATACAGTTATCTTTTCAAATTCCATTTCCTTAACAATTCTCGGAAAGATTTGAGCCTGTACAAATATTCATGTACATTAACAACCATGAATTCAATGTACCTACGTCATAATCGGTTCGGCCAAACTTGATCGCTTGGCAATACATGTATGTGTATTAGATTAAACGACGTCCAAAAAATTGGAGGAAGCAGGCAATTTCTTAAGGGCTGAAATTGGCGCGGAAATCGTGGCTTTATTAAATTTGTTTAGGAACAGGTAAGGGAATGGAGGTCGGGGGTGGTGGTAGTGAAGGAGCGGGAGTCGGTGAGGAGGACCTAGATTCTGGCTGAGTCGTCCTCGTCTGTCTAATATTGCTCGATGCCCGGCCTGCCTAACCTTATTGCCCCGACAAAGTAAAGAACCGACAAGGGACCCGAATAAGACCAGTTTAGGGCCAAGCAGATCAATGAAACACCAAACCAGCGGGGCGGAATGCTCAAACAGTCCTGAAGACAATTCAGTGGCTACGATGGAAATGGATACCGGGCCGATGCGATGGAAACGACGAGATAACGTTTTACCTCGTTTCGAGTCCGTTTCCAAGATTAGAGAAGCGATCTTGCGATACGCCATTTATCCATTATCTGAACGCTCTTCCTTCCGCGATGCATACGATCTCTTGTTTTCAATTTCTTTGTCCGCTTTCTTTATTAATATTAGAACAAATTATTAAGTAACACAATAAAAAAGAAAATACAATATCATACGAACTTTTATATTCAGTATGTTCTAGTTCGATCTCTATTAAATTTTTTAATATGAAGATTTTGTTTCTCAATGTAAATAAAGCAAACAAAAATGGTTTAAGCAATGGGGAAGGTGAAAGAACTTAAACGGTAGATAAGAAACCCTAAAGATGAGGTGAGGAGATTCCAGTAGCGCGCTTCTGCTCGCGGGTACCGACTATTTAGCATTATTAATTAGAGCCAAAGTCATTCTAAGTTGGCAAGTACATAAGCAGAAATAATATTTGCACGAGCGTTCATTAGACGTGGCAGAGGGCACGAGCTGACGCCGCAAACGGGTTGGATTCTCATTAAAATAACCTTACCTTTCCTTTTCGTCGCTCCTTCAACCCTTCCCCGGTGTCGGCCTACCTTTCCCCTGTCGCCCTCTTTTCCTACGTTTTTCCATCCTCATCGCCATCGGGCAAAACGAAGACGGCGCACGAAGGAGAAGGACCGCGAATGGGTTGAACGAGGAAAGTGGGGAGAGCGAGTTACGGGGGTAGTTTGACTACCACTAGATAACTTAAATGAAAGTCGCGGTTACCCCCTTAACGCGAAAATACGCTCAGGGAAAATTTCGTTTTTTCATCCTGATTAATGTAATACCCAGCGCTGTGCTGCCGCCGCTGCTGGCCACGCTAATTGGTCATTCTCGGCTCGCCTTTGATTCTTGTCTCCTGTCTACCTCCCCGTAGCGGCAGAACGCGATGCACACAGAGTACCCGTGTACCTTCACTCTCGGTCCGTCATCGCAGTGCCGGCCAGTAGACTGAAAATAAATTTTACCCGCATGACGGATTAAAAGGTAGCAGCGCGCACGAATCTGCGTTTGAAGGAAGCGTATTGCGATGCCGAGTTCTCGCGGAGAATTTTCCATACGGAATTGTGGCCGAGAAGTTAAAACGAGTTTCGCAGTGGCGCGACGTGACAGAGAAGAGGGACCTTTATCAGGTTCCTATTTAAACGAGCATGATTTTCAGCTACCTCGAACGTAACGCATTTCGTTTCTTCTCCTTCTTCTCCGTTGGTTTTGATTATTTTGTAAAGGTATTAGATTTTATCTGATCTTTTTGCTATGTCTGATGAACCGAATTAAAAGTTTGCAATTGAAATGTCGACTGTGTTTGCACGAACGGTCTCGTAAATTAATAAACTGAACGAAATGATAAACGGACGGTACCAATCGTAAAATTGAATGTATTTTTTGATAACAAAAGAGTAATCGCACATTTTTCGCAACAAACTCGATTTGCACCGATGAAAAGGAATGACGGAGTGAATCAGGACACAGTGAAAGCAAAAATACGTAATGCGTGGGTGGAGGGAAACGTTAAAACACTTCTCGCGTGCTTAATTGTTCGTGAATTATTAAAGGGAGAATAATTTTATATGAATATATAATAGGTATTACACTTTTCAGATCGTACAAGTCGTGTCGGAATACGTATTTTCCATCGGTAGACCGATAAACGAAACGAGAATAGAGCGGATAATAAAACAAATAAATATCGGGGATAACGTTCTACTTGCCGCGAGATGAGAAAAAACGAGACGGAATCGCATCGGATGTAATCCTGTGAATAAACGTGTCCAATCCAGTGAGCCTACCAGCGATTTTCAATGGTGAAATACATCGGTGTTGGCGCGACGTTTGTGTTTGGAGTTCAACAAAAATTGTCCGCTTTTTTATCGGAACGAGAATATTTTTGGTTCGCGCAGTCCCATTATAAATGTAATCCGTCTGTCGGTCATTCGACGGCAATCGAAATCTACATTTTCATGAAATTTATCGTTATAATACTACCAAATGATAATCCGATAAAAGGCTAGCGTTGCCCAAGCGTCGACGTAATTTTTCTGTTCCGCATACCAACTCGCCTGACGGACTCACGCCCGTTAAAACACGCGTCGTGACGCGGCGTCCCGTTTAACCTGGCTCTCCAATTTCGATCGCCATAAATTGCTACGCAACGCACACACACGCACACACTCTCATATATACACATACGTAATAAAAGGATAATAAAGTCTGCGGAGGCTGGGTCGCATCGGCGCTTTTAATTAAACAATTTCGCTAGGTGGATGGGCCATTGGTAATTGGAAAAAAGTCCACAGAACCGGGTATCGGTATCGAAGGTCGACTTCCGGCCACGGATCACGGCCATTGGGCATCGGGTTTGGTCATCGGGAGAGTACAGCAGGGCATATCGGGGTCAGGGGGGACAGGGAACGCGACGGAGGACCGGTACACCAACGGGTGTATGTATCTCTTCGGGGATGGCATGGTACGGCGGGGTTGCGGGTGGTGCGCGGGGGTGGAGCGGTGGAGAAGTTCCAAAATGAGTACCCGTGCAAATACGCCAGGATTGTTTCTGCCGCTAATTGCTCGGTTTTTTGCAGGGGCTCGGCCAACAATCGATTTGCATTTCAAAGGTAGTCCGGCATAAAAATAAAATGCGCCCCGTTAAAAGTTGACTGGCGGCGGCGCAGCGGCGTTGTGTGCGTGCCCCGA